CCCCTGCCTCCTCTCTGGCCCCCACCTCCACACTTCCGGGCCTGGCTTCTACAGAGCTGAAGGGAAGCAGCAGGGGTAGGTGTGCCTGTGCCCCGGCCTGGCTAGACACCATACCCTATGGGGTCCAGGCACCCCCGTCCGCCCCCTAGCCTGGGAAGAGGCCCCAGCTCCATCCAACCTCCTGGGCTGGGATGAGACTCCCAACCCCTGGGTACAGTTTCCCTATCTCTGCAACTGGAATAGCAACTGCTGGTAGACAATCTGGGTTAATTCAGGAGGACAGGGTTCCCAACCTGGCCCAGCTGCGTGGTGGACACACTGGAACCTTCAGTTGATGCCCTCCCCTCCCCTCCCCTCCACAGGCATTAATGTGCTGGTGGCAAAACACAGCTATCTCAAGAATTAGGAGTTATTTATCCAGCCGCCCAAGGAGCTCCAGCCAACTCCTGCCAGCACTGCCTCATTCCTGAGCCACCTTGCCACCCTCCTATCCCATTTGCTCCAGGCAAGCCCACCAAGCTCCTGTTGTCCCCGGCCCGCTTCACTACTGGGGCCCCAGTTCAAACTGGGGCCCGACTGCAGGCTCTACCAGCTCACCTACACCCCGCATGCAGCTGGGCCCTTATTCCAGGCAGGACTCTCTGCTGTAAAAGCAAACCCAAGGTGGCAGCTGGGGGTCAGGGAGCTGACACAATGCGGGGAGAAGAGCCATGGGACTGGCGGTGCTCCTGCTCTGCTGCTCTGGGGGACCCCCCACGTGGGGCTGCCAGTATGGCCCTTCCCTCCGGACTGACCGGTCCTCAGAAAGGGACACTGAGGCAGGGCAGGCGCACCTCCAGGGAAGAGCACTGCCTCAGGCATTAGTGGGAGAGAGAGCTGAGGCGGGAGAAGGGGAATCAGAACTCCCGCTCTAGCAACGTGAGGGCGGGGGTGTCTGCGAGCACCCACCCACCCAGAACCTTGCAGAGAAAAGTTGCTTTGCACACTGGTGACCCTGCAGGCCCTCCCATGCCCACGCTGCCCCGGAGCTAAGGGGTCCGGACCGCCGGGACAGGTAAGAAGCCCGCCCCAGTCCTGTCGTCCCTGTGTCCGCGGGCAGACCCCAGACTCGCTGAGCCCAGCTCGTCAGACACTTCTGCTGAGTTGCGGTGCCGCGGGTCCCAGAGGGGTCGCGGGGTGGACGGGTCGCCTGCCCTCTCCCTCCGGGTCCCCGCTGCACTCACCTCTTCCGCAGCGGCGGAGCCTGGGTGCTCGGGCGGCGGCGACGGCACTGTGCGGCTCCCGTTGGGCCGGCCCGCGCTAGCGGCCCCCCGGGGCCATGGCCCTGCCCGCGCCCTCTCGCCGCTGCGCCTGAGCCGGGATCGGCGCCTCGGCCGCGGCTTAGCCGGTTCCGCGGGCTTCGGGCGCGTCAGCAGCCGAGGGCCCGGGCCCGGGCCCCAGCCCGGGCCATGAGAAGGCTCAGGGGCGCTCGGGGCCGCCTCCCCCGGGGCGGGCTGCGGGCGCCCCCTGGCCGGCGCGCCGAGGGCGCATTCCCCAGCGCGGGGCGCAGGCGGTGGCGCGCGCTCGGCTTCGAAGCGCTGCGCTCGCCTGGCTGCTAGACGAGGGCCGGGCGGCTGCGCTGGGCTGCACGGCTCCTCGCGGCGCGCCCCGGCCCTACGCTGCACTCGGGGCTCGCCGGACCGCTGCGGTTCGTTCGCTCTCTCTCGTCTCGCGGCCGCCGGCGGGACAGGACGCTCGCAGCCGCGCGGGGAGCGCCCGCAATTGGCCGCCCGTGGGCGACATTTGCATAGCGCGGCCCCGCCCCGCCCGGCCCGCCCAGCCCCACCCCCGGGGCGGGACCCGCCCAGCCACCGCCCCGCCCCCGCTCCACCTGTCCGCAGGCTGGGCTCTGTGTTCCCAGGCGGTGGGCAACCTGCGCCAGGGAGGGCTAGTCCGCGCCCTGGACCTCCGCCTCGGTTTCGCGGGCGGCGCCCCCGCCCCGCCCTGGCTTTGTCTCTCCGTGGATACACAGCGCACATCGCGCCTGGTGTTTACCGGGGCACTCAACTCCCTGGCGAGAAAGACAGGCGCGCCGGGGAGCTATGAGCCTGAGCTCACCTGCGCACCCCCTTTTGCGTCCCTCCTACCTACTTGTCGCCTGAAGCGGCCCTGGCCCCGCGCGTGGGCCCTGTAGCGCAGGACCCGTGGCTGCCTGGGCCGTTCAGCAGGTGGCGGTGCAACCCCTGGGACAGCTGGCTCCGCTGGACCTTCCCTCCGGCTGCTGCAGCCTCCAGCTTAGGCCAGAGGGACAGCCCAGCTCTGTCCAGCCACCCAACGACTCCCTGTGATCACCTCAACCACCAGCCCTATTTCAAGGCAGCAGCTCTTATGGACCCTCCTTTTATAGTTCATTACGCTGGAGTAGCCAGATGAGCGGGGACTTTCTCTCCTAAAGGGGATACTTGAGTCCAAATAGGCTGGTGATGACCCAAGGCCTCAGCAACTGAGCAGGGGCCTACCTTGACCCCAGGAAGGTGTCCTCTGCCTATCCCAATCCCTAAGGTCATGGCTTCACCTGCCAGGACCACTTCTCAGCCCTGCTCAATGCACTCTGCTGAGGTCCTCGGAGCAATTGGCCCTCTTTGTCCTCTTCTTCCTCCTTTTCCTCCTCTGTCTTTTTCTATTCCCTCCTCTTCCTTCTCTCCCCTCTCTCTCCTCCTCCTCTCCTCTTACCCTTTTCCTTTTCTGCCCTCTCCTCCTCTTCTGCCTTTCCCTTCACCCTATTTTTCCTTCCCTTCTCCCCCTTTTTCTTGTTCCTTCTCTTCCTCCTCTCATTCCTCTTCTCCCTCTTCCTCCTCTCCTTCTCTTCCTAACTAGCAAGACCCCTGGGAGGAGGCATCTCTCCCTCTGACCTATTGACTGACTGACTGCAAGTGTAGGGATGGGTGGGGTGTTAGGGATCCTGCTGAGGGTGTCCTGACTCAGGACTTAGAATGCTGCCACATGCTCCAAGCCCAGGCTGGGCATTTGAGGTGAGGAAACACCAGCCTGGGGTTATGGGGCTGCAGTGACAGTGCCTGCATCTCTCCCCTCTATCATGCCTCATTTAAAACACTGTGACAGGCCGGGCATGGTGGCTCATGCCTGTAATCCCTGCACTCTGGGAGGCCGAGGCAGCAGGATCGCTCGAGGTCAGGAGTTTGAAACCAGCCAGAGCAAGAGCGTGACCCCGTCTCTACTAAAAATAGAAAGAAATTAATTGGCCAACTAAACACATATATAGAAAAAATTAGCCGGGTATGGTGACACGTGCCTGTATTCCCAGCTACTTGGGAGGCTGAGGCAGGAGGATCGCTTGAGCCCAGGAGTTTGAGGTTGCTGTGAGCTAGGCTGACACCACAGCACTCTAGCCCGGGCAATAGTGAGACTCTGTCTCAAAATAAATAAATAAAAAATAAAAAACAACAACAAACGAAAACCACTGTGACAGTCATCCCTCCTCATTTCTGCTCATCTATACCAGAGTCACCCCTGAGGTTATCACCACTGCACCACCATTACCAATGCAGCTTAGGTCACCATCACCATGGCTTCCAACACCATCCCTTCCATCCTTTCACCGCCTCCGTGGTGTCATAAGAAGCCCGGCCACTTCTGTCACTACCTGCAGCATCATCATAGTTACTAAGGCAAAACTGTTAGGACTTGCCAAAGACTCCAGGGTGCTTGGTTGAGAAGGAAAGAGGCTAATAGATCTGTTGCTGAAGCTCCACTCAGACACACAGAATAGGCCCAGCACCAGAGGCCTTCAATGGCGGGCAGGGGGAGGAGCTCAGGGAAAGGGTAGAGGGCTAGAGTTGAGCCTGACTACACAGGGTGGAATGCCAGTTCTCTCCTAAACAATTCAAGAGGGCTGGATAATCACATAAAAATAATTATTATCACAGCAGTGAATCCACACTGAGCCCTTGCTCTGTGTCAGTGCTGGGCTGAACACTGAGCATTTTGTATCACTGTAATATGTTATTACTATATTTTGCATGCATGTATATATACACATCATTTTGTTGCACTCCACTTTATTGCTCTCTGAAGATATTCCATTGTTTACAAATTGAAAGTTTGTGGCAATGCTGTTTTGAGCAAGTCTATCAGCACTATGTTTCCAACAACTTAGGCTCACTTCATTAGCACTTTTTAGCAATAAGGTATTTTTAAAGTATATACTTCTTTAAACATATGCTGTTGCACATATAATAGACTACAGCACAGTATATACATAACTTTTTCTTTTCTTTTTCTTTTTTTTTTTTTTTGAGATAGAGTCTTGCTCTGTCACCCCAGCTAGAGTGCCGTGGCATCATCATAGCTCGCTGCAACCTCAAACTCCTGGGCTCGAGAGATCCTCCTGCCTCAGCCTCCTCAGTAGCTGGGAATATAGGCATGCGCCACCATGCTGAGCTAAGTTTTTCTATTTTTGGTAGAGATAGGGTCTTCTCTTGTTCAGGCTGGTCTCAACCTCCTGACCTCAAGGAATCCTCCCATCTCAGCCTCTGAGAGTGCTAAGATTACAGGCATAAGCCACTGTGCCCAGCCCTACACATAACTTTTATATACACTGGGAAACCAAAAAAGTTCACGTGACTTGCTTTACTGCAATGTTTGCTTTATTGCTGTGGTCTGGAACCAAGCCTGCAATATTTCCGAGGCATGTATTGTATTATTTGGAGGCATATTGTATAGTTTCCCACAATTTTGTCTTCAATTCCAAGGGTCCAAATACCCCTTGAAATCAGCCCTGGAGAGCAGGTTGAGAGGCTGCTCATACCAACAGGTTATGCTGCAGTGGTGCTCAAACTGCGGCCCGCGGGCCATATGCGGCCTGCCGAGGACATTTATCCAGCCCGCTGGGTGTTTTGCTGCCGCTGCCTGTCCTGCTTAGCAGCTGACTCGTCCAGGGCCCACAGTGCACCTGTGTGGAATGTGTGCCGCACCTCCAATGGCCCTCCAATGGTCTGAGGGACAGTGAACGCCCCTGTTTAAAAAGTTTGAGGACACCTGGGTTATGGTTATTCACTCCCAGGTACCTCACAGTCATGCCAGGAAGCAGGCCCAGGGTGGGGAGTGGGGAGAGGCTATAACCACCAGGTGTGGTGCCCGCTGAAATGGCGGCATTTTCAGCAGCTGTGGGAAAGCTCCAGGAGAGAAGGGCCTGCAACCTAGACAGACACTCAGGGACTGGCAATGAATGCTGGAGCCCCACGCCGCACTTAAGGAGTTCAATACGTTTTTATTGAATGAATAAGAGAGCAAATCCCTGCAGCACCAGATCTGAGAGGGAAGAGGAGCCAAGAAGCCAAGAGGCCACAAGCCAACCCCCCCTCTACTCCTGGCTCCTCTGGACTGGCTGCCCCCACCCTATGCACCAGGAGGGGGCTCCTGCCACCCACAGTCCTTCTGTCCTCCTTCCCAAAGGCCACTTAGCTATGCTAGCTCCACTTGAGAGCCACCCAGAATGCCCCGTGGTTGCCTGAAGGGAGATGGCCAGACCTCCCTCCCTGCTCTGTAGGATACTCAGCAGCCCCCCAAGGCCCACCTGGCACCAGTCTGATCACACAGGTGAACAGGGGCGAGGGCGTGGGTTACAGACAGAGATGGTCAGGCCAAGTCTGGCTCCCCCACCAGCTCGCCATTGGAATCCCCTCCTGGGGCAGCCCCCTCCTCCTTCCCAGATGGGCTCTGAGTGCCCAGGAATCAGGCCCTATCCCGGGTAGTCTTGGGCTTGGGGCTAGGCCTCCTGGAGCTTCTGAGGGGTTACTGGGCCAGCAGTGGGGCTTGCAACTGAGGAGGAATTGGCCCAGCTGCACCCTGGATGACAGTGCTGGCAACAGGCAGGAAAGCCTTGAAGATTTCCTCCCCCAAACACCCCAGCCTTTCAACCTGGCCCAAGTTTTGTTTCTGGCAATGTGTGTGCCTGTTTCTCTTCCTTCTGGCTCCTCCAGGCTGTGCTGTGGGGACTGAACTGCAGCCTCTCGGCTTCCTGCTGCTGGTGCATCCTCTGTCTGTCTGGGCTGGCTCACCTCTGGCGGGGAGAAGCAGCCTGATGAAGCACTGTGTAACCCAAGAGCCTGCCTTTCTGGCCTCCGTATGTGCATGCTGGACTTGGAAGGCCTGGGCCTCAGAGACCTGCCATGCCCCTGATGAAGGTGGCGACTACACTGGCACTCCCTCCCCTGCCCAGTCATGGGGGGAACCTGTTTCCCGGGCCTCTCAGGCTGAGCAGGCCCTGGCCTGCCAAGCATTGCTGGCTCAGGTTTCCCCACTTTCTGGTTTTCTCATCTCCCCTGCCCCAGGCACACGGCCTGCTCTCTGGCCCAGCCCCCACCTGCCACCCGGAACTGGATCCCAGAGAGGGGGAATGCTAGAAGGGGCCAGGGAGGGGTGGGGGGGCAGCCAGTTGGGCAGCACCAGGAGGGGGCAGGCTGAGAGGTGTCACACATGGCCCAGGGCCAGGATGAGGTTCCCTTCAGCCTTCTCCTGCCCAGCCTGCCCCAGGGGCTGGCTCTGAGCCGATCAAAAGCTGGAATGACCCACCTCCCTGGCTGCTCCCCAGAGCTGCCTCTAAGCCTTTTCTGCTGTTGTTCCCTCTACCAGGAATGTTCTTCCCAGAGGTCACTCCAGTCTAAACCCTGTGTTTCCTCTAGACCTGGGCCCTTGCCTCTTTCTGCACAAAGGGCTCAGTCTCCCTCTTAAGGCTGCCTTGACCTCCTCTTCACCACTTGTGCCCCTCAGGCATCCCAAGCCTCTTTGAGAGCTCTATGCGCTACCATCTCTACCATCTTTGCACGCCGTTTCCCTGTACCCTGAATGTCTTTTCCTGTTTCTTTCTAGATCCTTTAGGCCTCATTTCCTAAGGGCTGGCTCCAGAGCTTCCTTGGGCCCCTGCAGGTCCAGCACTCCCATCCAGACACTAAAAGATCCTGCCCAGGGGACCCAGACTCCTCTGTGTTCTCCCGGCTGGGCCCCTGTGGACCTATCAGCAACTGCTACTCATGTGAGTTCAGAGTGAATAATAAATGACACAGAGCACTGAGATCCTTGCCATTACCCATGCCCCTCATTCCGTGTGTGCATGTGCACGTGCTGCGCGTGCGTGCATGTGTGTGTGTGTGTGTGTGTGTGTGTGTGTGTGTGTGTGTGTAACAGCAAAGGAGGTGGGGTTGAATAAGCCTAGGCTTGGCTGGCTTCAAAGTGACCCATGACCGTTAGCCAGCCTGAGCACATCCTGTTTAGACAGAGGCCAGACAGCCGTCCCTCAGCCCCCGCCTTGCCCAGCCCCCGCTGGGAGCCCAGGTCTCCGGCCTAGAGCTCAGTCCATACCTGGCCCTGGACAGGCCTCCCTGTAAGAGTCAGGGCGGGAACTCTGGGGTTCCTCTCCCCTGTGGCAGGAGCCTTATCTCTGGGTACCTGGGACCTGCACCAGTAATGGCTGGGCAGCTCCAGCCACTGTAGCAGGGGGCTGGAGAGGAGGGAGCCTGGCTGGGGAGACCCTGCCAGTGTCAGTAGCTCAGACCAGGAGCCTACACCAGCAACTCTTTGGCCTTGTCTCTCTCAGCTGGGCAGCTCTTTCCTTCCAGCTGCTCAGGCAAAAAGCCTCGGAGTTAGCCTGGACCCTCTCTTTCTCACATCCGCATCCAAACCATTGGCAAGAACTTTTAAGTTTCACCTTCAAAATATACAAAATATCAGGTAACCACTTCTTACTCCCTGACTACCAACTCTGCAGCCACTGCCTAAGCAGCCACCACCTCCACGGCCAACCTCTCTCTGCAACAAGTCCAGGACCCTCCTCACAGAGCTCCCAGCTTCCGCACCTGCCTCCCATCATCCAGTCAGCCAGGCCCCAGAGGGACCATGTTAAGATGGAAGCCAGGTCATGTCTCTCTCTTGCTCAAAGCTCCCCATGGCTCCTACTTTACTAGAGTCCACGCCAAGTCCTCAGAGTGCCCATCACTCCCCCAGCCCCACCACCTCTCTTACATGTGTCCTCCTCTCTTGGTTACAGCTGCCTCACTCTTCCTCCCCTTTGGGGCACACTCCAGCCTCAGGGCCCCTGCAATGACTGTTCCTTTAGCCTGGATGCGCTTCCCGCAGCCACCTACATGCCTCCCCCTCCTCTCCTTCAGGTCTCTGCCTTGATACTGCCTGCTCAACGGGGCCCCTGACACCATCCCAGCATTCTTGATCTCCCTTCCCTTCTCTCTCTCTCCTCCCAACAGACTATAGAATTGACTTATTTTCTTTTTTATTTTTCTTTCTCTTTTTTGAGACAGAGTCTCACTCTGTTGCCCTGGCTAGAGTGCCGTGGCGTCAGCCTAGCTCACAGCAACCTCAAACTCCTGGGCTCAGGCGATCCTCCTGCCTCAGCCTCCCGAGTACATAGGACTACAGGCATGTGCCACCATGCCCGGCTAATATTTTATATATATTTTTAGTTGGCCAATTAATTTCTTTCTATTTTTAGTAGAGAGGGGGTTTTGCTCTTGCCCAGGCTGGTTTCGAACTCCTTACCTTGAGTCATCCACCCGCCTCGACTTCCCAGAGTGCTAGGATTACAGGCGTGAGCCACCATGCCCAGCCAGAATTGACTTATTTTCCTGCTAAACTGTCAGCTCCACGAGGGCAGAGATTGTGGCCTGTTTTATCTGTTGCAGTTTCTCAGCGCCCAGAATGGATAGAGTTCCCGTCATAGTGTGAATGAATGACTGCTCAGGGCAGAGGGAGCCTCGCCCAAGGCTCCTGCAGACTGACCAGGGCTGTGAGCTGCCTCCCCTTACACTTACCTGGAGCTGAGGACAGAGCTTGGCGGGGGCCCATTTGCTGTTTCCCCCTCTACTTAAGAGCTGGACTGACGAGAGAGCGTCTGGAGCTGGAGCAGCAGGGACTCAAGGTAGACGCTGCTTTAACTTAAAGGCAGTGAATTGCTCCTGTAGTCCCAGCTGCTCAGGAGGCTGAGGCTGGGGCCAGGAGTTCAAGGCTGCAGTGAGCTAGGCTGACGCCACTGCACTCCAGCCTGGGCCACAGAGCAAGATCCTGTCTCAAAAAAAGTAAGAATAAAAATGAAATAAATTAAAAAAAAGAAAAAAAGGCAGTGAGGCTCTGACTGTGAGCTCTCCAGGGGCAGGCATAGTCCCTTAGGCAGAGGTGTACCTCAGGGCTTGGAGAGACCGGGTAGGTCCCTGACAAAGTTGACTATGACAGGCTCTGATCTTGTGAGGTTTCTGGCTGCCTCCCAGGCCTGCATCTGCTGTGCACACTCCCTCCATGTGTCTGTGTGGCCGCAGTCCTGGGAGGGGGGCCTGAGCAGGGTCCTGAAGCCAGGCCTGCAAGCTGGGATCTGGACTTACTTAGTTCCAAATGACTGGGGAATGTCCCTTCCGTGACAGCGGTGGTGTGGCCTCCCCTAGTCCCTCACTCCCAGCAGGGGAGTGGGGCCCAGATGAAGACAGCCCCTCAGAATGGGGGAGGGGCTGGTGGGCAGACACTGGGCACCCTGCCATCCTGGCCTTCCTCCGTAAGCCTGGCTCCAGGTCATCCCTGAAAAAGAGTTGCAATATGAGGTTACTGTCTCTGCCCTCAGACCAGAGACCTGAGGCCAGAGCATCCCAATTTCATCTCCAGCCTCCTGAGCCAGGGAGAGGAGAGTCGTCACCAGCAAGACTTCTGTGGCATGCAGCACTGGGACTGGCCAATAAGGCGTGATCCTTCCAGAGAATCTCCCCTCTACAGCTTATGGCCTTAGTGTCCTGGGCGAGGGTCAGGGTGGCAGGGCTGGTGCTAGGCAGGTGAGGAGCTGGGCCTGCCCTGGCCAACCTGGTACTTGTCAAGCACTCCATCTAGAAAGATGAACCTCTTTGCTCCCTGTGCTGTGGCTGGCAGGAAGTGACGCCAAGCCTGTGTTCCCTACCCTAGGGTTTTCATGTCTTACTGTCTTATTGGTTAGATTTTCAAACATACCTGGGCAGGGTGGGGTCCTTGGCCATTCCTGACCCTTGACCCTTCACCCAGGGATTGGAGGCTCTGTCTATGCTATCTGTAGAGTCCTAGCAAGGGTCAGGCCTCAGGCTCACCTTGGCCAGAACATCATTTTGTACCCATTTAATAGAGGGGAATACTGAGGCCTTGAGGAATAAGGGCTTAGGTGACCTTGTCAATGAGCCCTTTGAATATTGAGGTGCAATCTCTGAGAAGGGAAAGACAAGGACTAACTTGAGGGTAATGGGGCATGACATAGTCTGATTCAAGATTTTAAAAGATCCTCCTGGCTACTGGGGTGTCAGAGAGGGACTGTGGACATCCAGGAGAGAGGACAGGGGTCTGGCTGGAATACTGGGGGTGCTGATGGATAGCCTCGGACTTGGCCAGGGTTCCTTCATCCTTCCCTTGGAGCCCATCCCTTGGGCCTGACTTGGAATTCTGGCGTAGGGAGAGAGGCCTGTCCTTGGCCCCTATACACCCCGGACACATGGCCTGCCTGGCTGGCCCCCCTACCCCTTCTCCTGAGACAGTGGTTTAAGCTTTAATCTAAGGACAAGTTTCTGCAAAGCTCATGTTTGCTGCCGGAAGGAGCAGGGAGCAACCTAGATGGAGGGATAAGAGAGCGGGAGGGGGAGGAAGGCAGGGGCAGCCCTGTATGGGGAGACATCAGAAGTCCAGACTCCATACTCTGCCCAGCCTGGCTCCAGCACCCCCAGAGTAACTTGGGGAAACCTAGTTCCTGCCCCCCAGAGGAATGCATTCATGAGTCCACAACCTGCCTGAGCACCTACTGTGTGCCACCCCACCTCAGCCATGGGCACAGCTCACAGGGAAGAGTCTCTGGGCTCAAGCATCACCCCTGGCTGGCCCAGCCTTGGTCAGGTCCAGACTGCCCAGGACACTGGTAGAGGGGCACAGAGGGGCACTGCTACCCCAAAGGGAGGCAGTTGCTCTCCCCACCACCACTGTTACTTGGGCTCCTCATAGTCCCTGAGGGGAAACACATGCTCACATCTTTGTGCCTTGTTGTCCCTTAAAGCACTCCCATTGCTGCCCTATAGCCAGAGTTGCGCAGCCTCTTTCCTCTTCATCTGTTGCGCAGTCCTGCGGTGCCGTCCCACAGCCCTTCCGTCTGCACACCCGGCTCCTGCCTGGGGAGAGGAAGCACCCACTTCAAAGCCCCAAGCTGGTGAGGGTCCAACCCAGACTACCTTGTGTTCTCAAGGCCACTGAGCCTGAGACCTAGAAAGCCAATGGTCCAGGACCGGGTCCCATCTGAGTAACTCAAACTCTAGAAAGAAACACCAGTGTAATTCGGAGCATAGGCCCCAGCCAGCCCTGCTCTCTGGAGAACTCACCTCGCCTAGGCCCAACTGGTCGCCTGGCTGGGAACCGTGGGTTTCCTGAGGCTATGTGTCAACCCAGGGCCTTGGGTAGCAGCTTAGGACCGTTCTTTTTTTTTTTAAACAGAGTCTCAGTCTGTTGCCTGGGCTAGAGTGCTGTGGTGTCAGCCTAGCTCACAGCCAAACTCCTGGGCTCAAGTGATCCTTCTGCCTCAGCCTCCCGAGTTGCTGGGACTACAGGCATGCGCTACTGTGCGCAGCTAATTTTTTCTGTGTATTTTTAGTTGTCCAGCTAATTTCCTTCTATTTTTAGTAGAGACGAGGTCTCGCTCTTGCTCAGGCTGGTCTCGAATGCCCAAGCTCAAAGGATCTACCCGCCTTGGCTTCCCAGAGTGCTAAGATTACAGGTGTGAGCCACCACGCCTGGCTTCTAAGACCCTTCTTAGTCTGGGTCCAGATGTCCTCGGCCAGGAGGCACTGATGGTTGGGGGCACTCAGGGGGCAGGGCAGCTATAGCAAGGGAAGGGTGACGTTTGACACAGCACCCACAGTTAGTCTGGGGGTGCTGGAGCCAGGCAGGGCAGAGTATGGAGTCTGGACTTCTGATGTCTCCCCATACATGCCCTGCCCCTCCCTGCCTTCCTCATCCCTCCCACATCTCTTATACCTCCACCTGGGTTGGCCTCCCTCCTTCCCACAGCAAAAGCTGGGTGGCTGGAAGCAGGAGGGAACTCCATCCCCTCTCTGTTAGCTTCCCCGAGTCTCAGCACACCGAGGCTGGGGGAGGGTTGGTTTGCTGCTCCCAGGCCTAGGCTGTGTCTGATTCCCCTGAGGGGCGTGTCCCATGGATCACCCCTCTCAGCCTCAATGTCCCTCCCTGGGAGTGGACTGTGTCAAATGTCACCCTTCCCTTGCTGTGGCTGCCCTGACAGCTGAGTATATCAGTGCCCCCTTGCCGAGGACATCTGGACTCCAGACCAAGAGGGGTTATAACCTTCTGGGGTGCCTGAAGGATGGGATCTTAGGCAACTACCCAAGGCCCTGGTTGACACATAGCCTCAGGAAACCCACGGTTCCCAGCCAGGGGACCAGTTGGGCCTAGGCGAGGTGAGTTCTCCAGAGAGCAGGGCTGGCTGGGGCCTATGCTCCGAATTACACTGGTGTTTCTCTCTAGAGTTTGAGTTACTCAGATGGGACCCGGTCCTGGACCATTGGCTTTCTAGGTCTCAGGCTCAGTGGCCTTGAGAACACAAGGTAGTCTGGGTTGGACCCTCACCACTCTGGGGCTTTGAGGTGGGGAAGGGGCCTAAGAGGAGCATGTAAGGACTGGGCTAGGCTGGGGGCATAAGACATGAGAACACCCCTCCCACCAGCCAGAGTTTGGAAGAAACTGTGAGTTGCTTTTCCCCAAGCATCCCCTGCGCTGCTCCCAGAGCTCTGTCATGATGGGGCTTGTTGTGAGGGGGCTTGGGACTCCTAGCTCTCCAGGCGGGGGCCACTTCCTATTCCTTCTGTCCCTGTTGATCAGGGCATGCCCCCACCCAAGGAAGAAGGGACTCCCTGCCTGTGGATCCAGGACTCTAGAGCACCCATCCCTACTCATGCTATCCCCACAGGGTCCCCACACCTGCCCACGCCAGGGTCCCTCGCCCTCTACCCAGCTAGAACCCAGACAAAGATGCCACTTGGCACATGGGGAAACAAGGACCCTGAAAGAATCCCCTGGGAAGCCTGGGAAGTCTGAGTCAGAACCAGCAAAGCCCAGTTAGCCTGCCGTGTGACCCAGAGAGGGGCAGTCCCAGGCAAACCTCGGTGCCTGGGAGCCCTCATGCTACTCTGGGGGTTCTGGAGGCCACAGGCTTGTCACTGTCCTGCTCCCAAGCCTTTGCCTCAGCTTCTACCACCAGGAATGCCTTTCCTTGTCTCCCTAGGAGGCCTTCTGGCCTGGTTCCAGTTCCTGTGTTTTAGTCAAATGTCATTCATTCATTCTTTCTGCAGACGCCCTGTGTGCCCAGCCCTGTGTTGGCAAAAGGGTACAGAGGCTGACTTCTCTACCCCAGTTTGGTCTGAAATTGCAACAAAGCTGTCCCTCAGGAGTCATAGGCCAGGCTTACAGGCCTAGCACAGAGGGGAGTCACTCCAGGAAGGGGAGCCCTTGATGGTCCCCTTGGTGGGATTTGAGTCCCTGCAGGGTGGAGGCCCCAGCCGGACCCTGCACCTTGGAGAGGTCCCGGGAGGGCTGGGAGCTGGGCTCCAGGCAGGAAAGGCCTAGTGTCTAGCGAAGCCTGAGCCCTGCGCAGCCTGGGTGGTGGCGGAAGCCGTGCAGCACTGGCCTCGCCATCTGCAGAGCCGCTAGAGCCCTTTAACCTCACCGTGCCACCCTCCACCTACCCAAACATTAGGGCCAACCAGGCAGGGGCCACGGGTGAATGGGCACATGTGAGTCTAGGAAGGCTCCTACCAGCCCCACCAGGGACCCTGCAACTCCAAGCCCGGCTACGTGAGGCTCTCACCTCTGTGTGTACGCATTTGCCCAGCCTCCTCATTTGTAAAATGAGAGCATAGCCCTTCCTCGCAGGGTGCTGGGAGCAGCCACCTGGCACATAGGGTGCCATCTACCGTGCCACCTTGCTATGACTCATCATCCCTACCCAGTGGGTGACAAGGAGACCCAGACACCATCACCAGGGCACCAGGGCCTGCCTGGAATTGCTCTGCTTGGGGCCCAGGAGACAGTGGGGTTTGTCTCCTCATCCAACAGAAGGGTCCACTCAGGCTGGGACAGCCCTCAACTGCCCAGCACGGACCTGCCCTGCCACTGCCTCTGCTGGTCCAGCCTCCAGGCCACACGGTGGCCCCACTGGAGCCTCCACAGGCAAAGGCAATCTCTCTTTCCTCCTGGGAGAGACCCTCATGCAGGTTGTCATGGAAATGTAGCACCTGCGAAGCAGGCTGTCTGTAACTCCTGGGCCGCCCACCCCTCTTCCTCCACTCTCGCCCTGACCCCAACACCCAGCCCACAGTTCCTCCAAACAGTTATGCACCAAGAGCTTGGGAGCTGGCAAGATGATGAGGCCCTGGGGTCAACTTCCATGTCAGCAGGGAAGTGTCCTGGTGACAGGGTGCAGAGGGTGCCCAGAGGCCTAGGAGAGTAACTAAGGGAAGATGCCTAGAGGAGGTGACACTGCTGCTGGGCCCAAAGGACCAATCAGAGATCTCTTGTCCAGAAGGATGAATGAACAGCCTGGGCAAGGGCCTGGAGGCACACCCTGTCATAGTGTGTCCTGGAGCAGGACTCAGACAGCATCAGAACCGCAGGGAGGGCAAGGGGGTGGGGAGTGGCCATGTGGCCATGTGATGTGGGCCAGTCCACATGAGCTCCCTGTGGACTGGCCCTTCCAAGAGCAGGAGGGGCCCGGATGGAGCAGCAAAGAGACAGGGTGAAGGCAGACCTGGAATAGTCTTTGGAGAGGCCCCAGCTGGAGGCAGAGTGAGCAGGCAGCAGCTGGTCCCGGGGAAGCTGAGGCCTAGTCAGAAGGAGAAGCAGAAGTGCAAGGAACAAGGTCAACCCTACATAAGGGGCCGGAGCTTCCTGGAGACCTGCAGCCTTCAGGGCCTTTGCTGCCTCTGCAGTCTGGTGGTTGACTGAGAGCTGTTCTCCCCAGAGGGATAGGACACCCCCTTTGTAGGACATGCTGCTTTCATGAAGGTGGCAAGCTAGGAGGCCTGGAGGCTTCTAGGAGAGCATAGGGCATAGGCTGGGTCCCTCTCATACTTTCCACCCTCCCCAGCTTCCTAGTGTCCTCCTCTAGACACCTGGTGGACATCCAAGCACACCCATGGACGACCCTTGGGCTGGGGCAGATCACCTGCTTCCAAGGGGGCATGGGCTATACCTCAGAGACCCTGCCCCTGCACCCTTGTTCATAAATGAGGAAACTGAGGCTAAGAGGGAGAAGGCCTGCCCTAAGTGCCACGAGGCTGAGATTGGGAGAAAGATGGTCTCCGTCTGTCCTCCCAGGCCCCCATAAATGAGCATTCCCAGCAGAAGGAGTAGGCTCAGATTATGAGCTGGATTTGAGCTGCCTCTGGCAGTGTGGCCCTGCTTTCCAGAGCCCTCAAAGCCTGCTCGCTTTGTCCTTTCCCTTGGGTCCAGGCCTAGCAGAGCTTCGCCACGCTGACAGCAGGCCATCTGCTTTTCCCGGTAAGGACCCTCCTCCCTGCCCCCTTGCCTGCTCCCTCTGGGCTGGGGAATGCTCCTGGGCCAGTCCCTGACCACCCCCCTCCAACAGCCCTCTTGGGGACTCCCTGTCCCAAGTGGGTTGTGGCTCCTCCAAGGGCTTCTAGGGAGGTGGATCTGCTGGGTCAGGTCAGGGGAGAAATGGGTAGGGCTGCGGTCATGGGGCCAGGTGGATTTGCAGGGCAGGGCCCGCAGGAGGACGATGCCCCGCCTCAGTCTCCCCCACGGGCTGTCTGTGTTCCAGGTGTCAGGCAGGGCTCTTGGCTACCCTGCCCCCCACCAGGTGTGGGGCTTCCCCAGCTCAGAGGCCCCTTTGTCCCTTATCTTCTCTGCCTCCTTGGTGGCAGCATACAGATAAGCATCCCATTTGGGGCTGAAATTCCAGCCTAGCTGTCCACTCCACCACTGGGGGTCTGGGACTTGCCAGCTACACGCTCTCCCCCTCCCTGGGACCTACCTAAAGTGTCCATTCCACTCAAGGTGCCCCCAGCTGCACACTTTCCCCAGGCCCTCTACCCCACCTGCACACTTGGACCTGCATCCCCACCCCCTTGGCCATATGGGCACATGCCCTCAACCCTCCCCC